CCCCAAAACCCCAAAACCCCAAAACCCCAAAACCCCATTTGATGGAATTTAGTATAAATAAGTGGAATTTGTATTTAATATTTATGAATAAACGAGATAGGGCACACAACTCACCAACCTCATTCAACCTGTCCTTGGCTATGACATATCATCAGCCATAGTATCAGTATTGAAGAGGCACTGATTCGGAGGGCTCCTTACCTTGAGTACTCAGCATAAATTAACCATACTATAATTCTAGATTGCTCAGATGCACTTTCTGTGAACAATTTGGGCTCCGTGCTCGTCATAGTCTTCCTTGGTGATCCACATGCTGGCGAAGGTTGAGAGAGATGTAAGGGTGGAACCTCCTCTCCATACGGCGAATCTTCTGTCTGGGCTGGCAATAACTTTGACAGTAATGGACTTTGGTGCTCTGTTTTCAATTTCTTTCAAGAGTCTCTCACCAATACCTTCGTACATGGTGGTACCTCCTGAGAGGATGATGTTTTGATAGAGGTCTCTTCTGACATCAACATCGCACTCTTGGATTGAGTTGTAGGTCAAGTCTTGGATTGAGGAGAGCTCTCTTCCGTTCATCTCGAGTGGCTTGAAGAGGTACTCTGGGCATCTGAATCTTTCGTTACCGATGGTGATGACTTTACCGTCTGGAAGTTCGTAGTTCTTTTCGAATTGGGAGCTGTCGTGGGATTGCTTGAGGGCAGATTCGTAGTCCAAAGCAACGAAGCAAAGCTTTTCCTTGATGTCTCTAACGATTTCCATCTCAGCTGATGAGGTGAACACGTATCCTCTTTCGGTAAGGAGCTTAGCCATGAACATGGTGAGGTCTCTACCGGCAAGTTGAATTCTTTGGACGGCGTGGGGAATTGAGAAACCCTCATAGATGGGGACAGTGTGGGTAACACCATCACCAGCATCGCAGACGATACCAGTGGTTCTACCAGCTGAATAGAGGGAGAGGACGGCTTGAATGGCAACGTAGAGGGCGGGAACATTGAAGGTCTCGAACATGATTTGAGTCATCTTCTCTCTGTTGATCTTTGGGTTGAGTGGGGCCTCAGTTAAAAGAACTGGGTGCTCGTCTGGGGAAACTCTGAGTTCAACGTAGAAGGTGTGGTTCCAGATCTTTTCCATATCATCCCAATCCTTAACGATACCGTGTTCGATGGGATAGAAGATCTTTAAGACTCCTCTCTTTTGTTAGGCTTCATCTCCGAGGTACTCAGTGGCTGAGTCAACACCGATCAAGGCGCTGGAGTTCTTGGGTCTACCAACGATTGATGGGAAGATGGCTCTTGGAGCATCTTCACCTGAGAAACCAGCCTTGACGACTCCGGATCCATTATCAATAACGCAAGTTTGTTGATCTGACATCTATCTATCTTTTTCTAGAGATTTAATATATTATTTATCAAGATATGCCCTTACTTAAATATCCTTGCTAATTAATATAAATTGAGATATCACTGACAAATATTTTCCTAATCAATACATCTTATACTCTCTTTAGGGGTTTTGGGGTTTTGGGGAGATCGGAAGAG